AGAAGTAGCTAGATTAGTTCCCTTCGAAACAGGGGTTGACACACACACACACACACACACGCACACACGCAATATACACACGCGGTGAATTCGTTGTGCTCGTTGAATTCGGCCTGGCCGTGGTGATCAAAACAGCCTTGAAGGGCGATGTTTAAAGAAAGGTGGATCCACTGTTGATCCACGGGTTTCATCGAAGAAACAAAAGCTCTGATTTCATCTGGTCCTCTTTAAGAGTAGCTTCCAAAGAGTTCTCAAGAGGGAGGATCAAAGAGGCCCTGATCCTCACCACATTGCCATAACTCTTGGGTAGCAAAAACGATTGGAATAGAAAACGGTCACACGTCTTTTTGCGAACGAATACAGTAGGACAAGGGCAAACGGACCATGGAAAACTCTAAGTCCTTTCGCTCGCGACCCTTTGTGACAGACGGGTCGCTCGATCGAACGCATCGATTCGCCTCGACTCCGCATCGATCCTTCGGAGGTGATGCGAAAGGATGCGATGCACCTGTTCCTAGTAGCGAACATTGTTACTAGTAGCTTGATTGTTACTAATAGCTTCGAAAGGATGGTCGGTACAAATTGCTTGAATTTTGGATGTGAGAGTGAATCAAAACCCAACCCGTGACAAGCACTGGTTCTCCTTCATCTTGACTTCAGGCTTCTCATCCGGGTTGATGTCGTGGCCATTGAAACAGCTTGAGATGGAGCCCATGCCTCACGAGTGACGCGGACTCTGCCGGCTTTCCCCATGCGAGTTGTGACCCTCGACATCCTGGCGCATCGCCGTGCGCTCAAAAATGAACGTCCCTATAGGTCCACCTGGCCAAACGGTCATTGCAGGTGACTGGAGAAAACTGGGGTCCGCATGAGGATTTGTTAAAATCTAAATAAACATTATGGATCATGATGGTGTGGGGTTCTAGCGTGTAGAGCCAGCCCCTTGGTTCCTTTAGCCTGTAGTAAAGGGCAAGGGGGGGCCGACCATGACCTCCCCGATAGATAGCCCGAAAGGGAGATTTTGTCCTTTACTCACATGAACAAATGACTCCAACACAATCATTCCCACACATGTCCCTGTCACACATGTCGTCATGGGAGTCCTGTCGCAAGGAACTCCTCGTCAGCTCATTCTCAACCACTTGACCCATTCGACAGACTCTCCATTGCACGCTTCTCCCTTATACTTTCCTATTAAACACAGGCCGGTAGATGCCCCGATTGCAAGAGTGGGCCGCCGTGGCACGCGAAAGAAAAAAAACTGACTGGCAAAGCCGTGGAATTGGAGAGAGATGTGTTTCTTCTTCTGACCTTTTCTCTTCCAGCATGTGTAGATTCCCGAACCTTCAATTCTTTGCAAATCACAAAACAAATCATATCCAACAAGTTCCGACCAAGTAAATTCGTGAGTCTTTGTGGCCTCACAGTTCTTGGAACAACCAAACACTTCGCGCATCTTGATGCAATTAGCTTGGATGAACACTTCCTCCCATAGTCTACCCCACTGATGTTCTCCATCCCTTCCTCACACCAGCCAAGCTCTCCGCCACCGGCGCACGGGCGGCGCCCCGTTTCTCGCGGCGAGTTCGCTCGCGGCGCGGCTCGCTCGAGCCGTGAAGACGCGGAGGTCGTCCGAGTGCAGCGATGAAGAACGGTGAAGAACTTGGGACTCACAAGGAAGCAACGGTGAATCAAGACCGGATTGAAGTAGACCGTTTCAAGTTATAGTAGACCCCTTTTGAAGTAGACCGTTTTGAGCTTTCAAGTAGACCGTTTCAAGCAACAGTGATCGTCTCCGATGATCGGTAATCACCGAACCTGAGGATGTAGGCCAGGAGGCGTAGGGAAACTCCCTGGGCCTTCATCATGGAGTCATGGAGTATCGTGGAGTGATGGCACCGGGCTGAAATTGGGCATCTGAGTCTTCGGGGCTCATCCACGGCCCATGAGGATGTTCAGGGAGCGATCACACAAGTTTCACAGGTCTTTAGTAGTTGGCCCAGGAAGAGTGTTCCTTCGCACAGATATTTCTCATCCGTGGTTGCTGCAGATCATGATGCCTTGTGAGAACATCGGAATGTCAAGATATCGGTGATAACATCGACATGTGATGAATGTTGAAGACGTGAAGATGATCATGATCTATCTGACATCCAGTGATCACATCGATCATCGGACAATCTTGTAAGATTTAACTCTTATGCAGCCAGTGTTTGCACAAGAGTTTAAAATCCAAAGATGCGATTCAGCAACAAAGCATCCAAACGAATGCCATGTGTCCAAACATGGAAATAGGCGGATCAAACCTTCTGGCCTATGCGCGAGACAAAATCCGGAGTGGTGTTCGATATGCATGTGCATTAGAATAGGGAGACCTCCCAGTTCGACCCCCCCTGGAAGGTTCGGGAAATAGACCCAAACTCATTGGGCCACGGGGTCTCCCTATGAAAATACACATGCACATATATTGAATGTTCTCTTGTGGTCCTGACGATGCAAGATGGACATGAAATCTACTGTCACTGTCTTAAATCCCTGAGCAAGAAAAACAACCGGCTGCTATCCTGATTAACCCCCAAGAAAATCGGATGTGCACTGAAAGTCTTCCTGTACTTGATCCATGTTTCAATACTTGTAGCCGAAACAAAACGAATTCATCAACACTGCATTGCTATACTGCGCCACTGGGTGTGGGACTGGTTTTGATTGCGCCACTGTGCATCGAATCAAGGGATAGGAATCAAGGATTGGGATGAATAGCACGTTCTTACGAACTGAGGAAAACGGCCAGAAGGGGCGTGGAAAATCATTGTCCTTTTGCCAGGGGTGGTCTGCTAGTTTCTATGTTAGTCTTTGGGTGGGCAATGGTTCATGATTTTGCCGACATGATTAGTAACAGGCTGGGCCGTGGTTTTAGATGAAACGATGGATTGGCAATCTAGTATGATGATTGTATATCAAACTACACTCTAGCTTGGCTATTTCCCCATACTTCCAGGATGGTTCTTAGTCACACCCATACAACCTGTCGCACCAGTTCAATTACAAGTTATTATCATCCTGACATGTGAGGGTTGCACAAAAAATTGGGCTACTAGATGCTACTAGGTTAAATCATATTAATTCAATTCTTTGCTATGGGGAAACACCTTGCTCTCTTCATGATCTTCTGGTAGTTCCAGCTGACATATTCTGTACTTACATTCGGTACAAGCATGAACCATACACCATACGGGCTCCACTTGAACTTTACAGGTCCCAATGATCCCAAAGACCTCAATGCTGCTGATTCTTTTGGCGCTCAACGACCTTTGGCCAGTCGCTCCTTCTCTTCTCGCTCCTGCACGTCACCCAAGCAGTCGGAGTGTTTGGGGAGCCGCAGCTTGCACGCATCTTGCAAACAAGAAAGACCCTTTTGGGACTCCAAGGGCCTCTGACATTCGGGGGGGAATGTATCTTTGGGACTCGGAAGTGAAACAATGGTATACAAATTCTTGTGTTTTTCATTTTTTCAGGATTAGAGCCAGATCCTACACAGGATCCCAACCCAAACACTCAATATGTAGGTGCCTGCCAGGTACCTCCTTTTTTTCGGATGAACGGAGGTGAGTCGTTTCAACACGAACTGGTCGACTCGACAACCGATCGAGGCTCCTCCTTCAAATGCTTCTCTTTTCGACTGGCCTCGTCCAACATATGGCTCAATCCTGCGAAACGGTCTTTTTTTGCGAAAGCAGGCAAGACCATGAGAAGGGATGTTTCTTTTGTTCTTTTTCGAAGGAGATCAAGCAAAAAGGGTACAGAAAAAAAACAGAGTGATATAGGAGATGGCACACATACTCGAACATGGTGGTTGTGTAGCTGCTTGCATGTGACACCTACCACTTGATTGTCCATTTGAACAGCCCTTTCAAGCTTGGTCAGCTTGGCAATCTGGTCCGTCTCTCCATGTGCCCAGGTGTCAGTGCTGCAGCTTCAGGATCAATGCTCAGAAACAAATGATTAGAACATCGGAGTGCATCATACAGTGCTGTACTTCTTTCAGAACATATCCTTTGGGTCCGAACTTACCTGTAACAGTCAGAAAACAAGTAGAACTATTTATGGTAATAGGATAGACCCAACATATCCTGCTAGCGCTGCTAGTTTATAAAGAGGATCTTCTGTTAATACGGCAACTCCCACATGCAAAGAACATGAGGAATCAACCCTACAGAGTTGTAGGCCCCATAGCTAATCCACAGGAACATGCACCTTCTTATTGCCAAGCTACACTACTCCACTACTCAACCATATAATACTTGTAAGAGATCCAAATTTGGTAAAACTTCATGAACATGTCCAGCCTCAAGATGCTGTTGGCCACCTGGTTGCCCTTCCACTCCACTCCCCTTCTGGCTTCGTCCCTCCGAACTCGAGGCTTCGGAAGGTCGAACCGACGCGTCGTTCAACGCTTCGCGTCGGGCGCCTTTGGCATCCGCCTCACAGATCCGTGCCTCGCGAGGTCCGACCCCACCGAAGGTCCGAGCCACGGAGGACACGCCCAACGGTGCTGGTTTCTGGTTTCGTTCCGTCCAACCGGTGGAGGATCGTGGAGGGTTTGGCAACCGGTTGCTGCCACAGCTTCTGGGTTGGCTGAAGCTGCACCCTGGTTCCCCTCTCTTAACAAGCACCAAGACCGAAGCTCCCACATCCAAGCAGCGAAAGGGAGCGATGTGAAACCGGGCTCGACTCTGAGGGTTCTAATTCCAAATGAACGAGGTGTGTCTGACCAGCAGCAACATCACTTAGACTAGACTTGTTTTTGAGGTACTCGAAGTGAAGCTATGGCAGTTTCACTGCAGGTGTTCGACAGAATCGACCTAGAAGCAGGTGACCCGAGCCAAGTCCACTTCCAAAGTCATCTGAGTATCGAAGAACTGTGTCAATCTTGAGTATGAAGAAATGCGACTTGGCCCAAAAGGTTTCCCCTTTCATATCTTTCATGGTTCTTCACAGCTGCCCTTGGCAGCAAAGAAGAGTCTACAAGTTGGTGACCAACAGTTGCCAATCACCCCACATACCTAAGCCTAATAATTAAGGTTCGTTCCTAAGTTCTTTTCTTAGGCCTCTCCGCACGCGTTTGTCATTTCAAGGTCCAACCAGCTGACACCGGAAACACTCCACACGCGCACACACGCGTCTGTTCCACGGCGGCCCGTTCCGGACACCTTCTCGGTGCAGAATTCTTTGGGTGAGATATCCTCTTCGAACCTCATTCGCTGCGACCGGCCACCAACACCGTCACGAACCACCAGGCCGTGAAGAAGCACACCCTATATAGGAGGCCCTGGGCCACCAATGTAGGTTCACCTTTCAGGTCGTATAGCCTGTTCAGTTGGGGTGGACAACCAGGGTCACCCCATTTTGACCCACATAGTCGTTTTTCCCCAGAACCGGAACAAGAGCCGATGTGAGGGACATCACATAGTCGTTGGTGGCCAGTTTTCCAGTGAGGACCACTGGGGGTGCCAGGGGGATGCATCACCTCGAGCTCGGGTACTAGTGACCGAACCCAGCTTCTTCAAAGACGATGGCCTCCAACCTAAGAATAAGAGCGATGGCCTCCAACCTATTATAATACCAATAACCTCCAACCTAATACTAAGATTCTATAAGATCCTTAAAATTTTAACCTTCCAGCTTCTTCAAAGTGATCTAACGCTGCAGGGTCCC